AATAGCATTAGCCTATTCTAAATTCCAGTAAAACCTTAATCTACATAATAGAAGTATTTCTCATGTGTACATCATAGGTGCATAAATACTTTCATTGCCTTGGTTTATACATGCTATTTTCTCTGGTAATAAATCAATCACATTTTTCTTTCCTAATTCAAGTTATTTCAAATATGTTTCATTTTTCTTTGTCACTGTAATTTTAGGGTCTTAAAAGTGAATTCCCTGAGATTATTTTTTTTTATACTTTTACCTTTTCATAACATATGCAGCAAGATATCTAAGTCAATGTCCTGGACTCAGTTTAAACCACAGCAATTAGCCAGTAAGTAATGTAGATAATTGCATTGTCCTTTGAATGTGGTGTAGCTTTATTAATTCTTAACCTGTAAAATTATTTTGAAGTATTGTTTGTCTAAGGATATTAAAATGCATCTATGCTTTTCTGGTATCCTTTGTAGATGTTTTTATAAACTGGAAGTGGTTAGTGGCTTTTCCAGGAGGTTAGGATGGACAAAATTCACAAATCAGATGGGATAGATAGAATTCAAAATATTAAAATGCCTGGCTTAGTACACTGTGCAAAGTGTCTATGAAGGTTATGCAACAGAAGTCATAATTAAGGTTTCTAGCAGAGCTTTACAGGTAATATTTCACTTTTAACTATTTTATAATACACTTATAGCAAAAAATGCCACGTATCTCTTGTTTTGCCTTCATAGCAGCACATCATAAACACAAAAAATCAGCTAGCTCTCCAGAGTAGAGAGATAATTGTTTATAAAAAGAAAACATGTTACAAGACAAATGTACGATGAGTTTCCTTTCCAGCTGACTTAAGACAAGCTAAATAAATAATACCATTAAAATTTGTACTATTTTGTGCTAGTCACTGATTGCTTTCTGTTTGTTTTTTTTTTAATACTGTGGTCAAACATCTGTTTTATAGATGTTTAGAAAACAAGGTGTTAGCTAATTTTCTCTGATGAATGAAATGATGTACCTATTCACATTATGCTTAGAGATTTACAAAAAACAATTTGCAACTCACTCTACCCTTGTCTGTTACTTCATTTATGCCACTTGTTATTTTCAAGCAGAGGTTGTTATTTTCAAGCAGAGGCTTTTGCTAGATGTATGATATTAAAGTTCAGAGGCAGCAGCTCTTTTAATTCTGCAGAACTATATTGCTGCATTATGGATACTTTGCTCTAATGCTGTCAGGAAATTAGAAGGGAAACTTAGATTTTTTTTTTTTCCCTTGTGGTAAAATCATTTACTTCTCTTAGAGCCTCTTTGCAAGCAGAAGTTGCTCACAGGTAGAAATGTAATTGTATGGTGTCAGCTACTGAATCAACTGGTGGTTTTTGTTGGCATTATTAATTAATGAGCATCACTGTACCAGAATTCACTAGTGAATGCTTCTGATACAAAAAGTGAAAAATAATATGAGGAGGGAACAAGCTCCATCTTCTTTCCCTCTCTACACTTCAAATTATATTGGTCAGTATAACATTGGGTGGTTTTAACCATCACTCAATTTTGTAGATAAAGGAATATCATTTTGACTCTAAAGCTGTGGGTATTGCTTCAATAGTTACTAGCTTAATGAATGTTTCTAGGTGAAAGCCTGAAAGTGAAAGTTTGCGTCGTATTGTTGGCAGATTCAGTCCCAACACGAGATGTGGAAAAAAGCAGATTGACTGTAATATTATTATATTATCCTAAAATTATTACATTAAAAAGTCTTTAAAACGGCTGTAGATAATTATAGAGCCAACAGCTTTTGACTGATTCACTGTACGTTTCGTGGCCTTTTTCCAGTCTCATACTTTCACATACTTTTCAGGAAGGATGTCTAAAAGCAGATGTGCCCTATAGCATAACCTTGCTTTACAGGCAGAGGCAAGTGGTACCTAATTTTGGCAATATATTTCTTTCCCAGTCCCCATTTTACCTGCATGGGTTGGCTTATCTGCTGTTGCAGAGGATATGTTGTGGGGTGTTTAGCACCTTTCAATATTTTTGAATTGAGCCCATTTTCAGTGATGTGTGAATATTTCTTCCTCAACCCAAATCTTTCCTTTATTACCTTACAGCATAATTTTATTTATTCCTTTATGGAAATATATCCAGGAGCATCACATTTATTAACAGAAAATAAGTGGAGCGCAACTACTCAATATTCTTACTAAACTTATTTTTTAGACTGAATTTCTAATCTGGGTGTTGAGCTTTATGATTTCCTGGAGAAGCTGTGAGTTTTCTTTCCTTGGGTATGTTCAAAGACTGACTATAGAAGTCTGTGAGCAACTTGATCTAGATATGAAGTTAGCTCTGCTTTGACTCAATAACTAGGTAGTTGGACTTGATGATCTCCAGCTGTCTTTTCCAACCTAAATTACTGTTTGATTCTAGGTAGATGAACAATCTTTAGATCACAAAGGAGAAACGTATGTATAAAAAAAAAAACAATGGAAATCAATCCCTGAAGTAAGCTCTTTTAGGTAGTGTTTTCTACATACCACTGACTGACTGGAAGCATATATAGCTTTTTAGATGTTAATAATTTATTGTTAACATAGGTAATGTTTTAACAATTCTGATTCCAAAAGAACCCCGTAGTTCTTTTCTACAAACTAGCAGATTTCTGGAATTTAAGTTGAGATATTGGGTCCTGCGCAAAGTTGGGTGAGGTAGATCAGCAGAAGCTTTGAGGAACATGGGAATTACAACTAGGTCAGTTGATTAGAAGTCATTCTTCCTATGTGACTATGACTTATTCACTACAATGGATAAGGGGTGTGGTAATTATTGAGAAACCAAGAATACTGCTTTGATATAGTATTTGAAGCACACATCAGAGTTTAGAGTCTCTTGAGGTAGTACTTGGGAAAAATACAAACATTTTTAGCATAAAGTGCTAAACACTGAATTGCTGAGGTGAGTAGCTCTAGAGAGGACGCCTTCAACACCGGAGCGGGGGGGGGGGGATCAGCGTCCAGGAGCCTCAACTCAGAGTGACGAGAGCCACCGAGGGAGCCCCAAGTCCTCGACAGGACCTGCCCAGGAGCCGGAAGCTCAGCTGACGACAGCGAGCAGCTGACTCACACGGGGCGGAGCCTGGAGCAGCGGCATCAGCCCTGACTGGGTAAAAACCTGCCCCAGGGAGCGCGGCGAACAGAGCGGGTCGAGGCAGTTTGCGCGGCAGTTCGCTTTAGCAGGCGAGCGGTATGGTGAGCCCTCGTCGTATGATCAGGGCCCTGTCCGGGAGCTCTGCTCTGGCTGCCCCGGCGGTGGCCAGCGTAGGCACCCAGACAGAGCCGATGAGAGGGGAGGCTGCAGTGCAGAGCTCGGGGTGTAGAAAGTGCCTGCACTGGTCTGGTGAGGGGAGGGTGCACAATGGGCAGGGCTGCGCTCGGTGCTCCCTGGTGCAGGTCCTCCTGCAGCAGGTGGCTGAGCTGCGGGATGCTGTTAATAGACTTTGAAATGTCAGGGAAGCTGGGAGGAAGCAGGAATGCTTGCTCCAGGCCCAAACTGTGCAGGGGCCTCGAGCTTCACCTCTAGCTCATGAAGGAAAGAAGGAGACCGTTAACCTGGGAAGATGGAAATTAGTGAAAAACAAACAAACAAACAAAAAAAAAAAAAAAGAAGGAAAAGGACAACCAAAAGCAAGGGGCTTCCCCCTAAATCCCCTGTCCCCACACAGAACCGCTTTGCTGTCCTGCAGGGGGCTAATGAGGAAGCGCACTCAAGCCAGAAACAGCCAGCTGATGCCTTGGTAAAGAAGATCACTACTGGTGCTGCTAGGAAAAAGCAGCGGGTCATAGTAGTAGGGGACTCTACACTGAAAGGGACAGAAGCACTCGTCTGCCATCCAGACCCCCATCTCAAGGGAGGTGTGTTGCCTACCGGGGGCACGGATGAGGGATGTGGCAGAAAGGCTGCCTGCTCTAGTAAGTCCCACGTATTATTACCCACTCCTGGTGATACATGTGGGTGCTAGGGACAGAGATAGTAGTAGCCTGGGGAACATAAAGAAGGACTACAGAGCCCTGGGGGAGGTGGTTAGGGGCTCTGGAGCTCAGGTGGTCCTTTCATCAATTCTCCAGGGTACAGGGGAGGACCTGAAAAAAGCTAGGAGGATTAGCCAGGTTAATAACTGGTTAAAAGGGTGGTGTCATAGTCAGGGGTTTGGGTGTCTTGAACATGGGACCCAAGCTTGTAGGCCAGGTCTAGTGGGGGCTGGTGGAGCTGCTCTAAGGGAAAGAGCAGTTTTGGTAGGAGGCTTGCCAGACTGGTCAAGGAGGCTTTAAACTAGATGTGTTGGGGGAGGGGGCATCATTCCATTCCAACACACCCAGTCAGTTGCCAGAACCTATAATAAATGCTTGGAGCAATGTAGAGATATCCCAGCTGCTCCAGCCAATGAGCCGGCTTCAGCTGGAGCTCGGCTCAGATGCCTCTACGCAAGTGCCCGTAGCATGGGGAACAAACAAGAGGAATTAGAGATGTGGGCATGTCTATGGGGGTATGATATAATAGGCATCACAGAAACATGGTGGGATGGCTCCTATGACTGGAGTGTTGGAATGGAATGTTACAGGCTCTTTAGGAAAGACAGGCCTGGCAGGTGGGGAGAGGGAGTTGCCCTTTATGTTAGGGGTAGGCTGGAGAGTATGCAACTCTGTCTGGGGACAGGTGAGCAGTCCACAGAGAGTTTGTGGGTCAGGGTTAAAGGGAGAACAGCTATGGGAGACATTACTGTGGGGATCTGTTACAGACCGCCTGATCAAGGAGAACCTGTGGATGAAGCACTCCATAGACAGATAGGAAAAGCCTCACGCTCACAGGCCCTTGTTCTCATGGGTGACTTCAACCACCCTGACATCTGTTGGAAGGACGGTACGGCCCGGCACAAGCAACCCAGGAGGTTCCTCGATTGTGTAGAAGACAACTTCCTTCTGCAAGTAATAGAGGAGCCGACAAGGAGATGTGCCATGCTTGAGCTCGTGCTCACCAACAGGGAAGGGCTCATTGGAAATGTGACGCTCCAGGGCAGTCTTGCATGCAGCGATCATGAGATGGTTGAATTCGAGATCCTCAGGACAGTGAGAAGAGCCTGCAGCGAGCTCACTGCCCTGGACTTCAAAAGAGCAGAATTTGGCCTCTTCAGGAACCTGCTTCGGAAGGTTCCATGGGATACAGCACTAGAGGGCAGGGGGGCCCAAGACTCTTGGTCGATATTCAAGGATCACCTGCTGCAAGCTCAGGAGTGTTGCATCCCAACCAGAAGGAAGTGCAGCAGGAGGGCCAGGAGACCTCCTTGGATGGATAAGGAGCTGCTGAGGAAAATTCAAGTGAAAAAGAGGCTTATAATAAGTGGAAGCAAGGACAGGTGGCCTGGGAAGAATACAGGGATGTTGTCCAGGAAGCTAGGGACCAGGTTAGGAAAGCTAAGGCCCAGTTAGAATTAAACTTGGCTAGGGGTGTGGAAGATAACAGGAAGGGATTCTACAGGTACATAGCAAATGAAAAACAGACTAGGGACAAGTTGGGCCCCCTCAGGAAGCTCTCAGGAGAACTGGCTACCCTGGATTTGGAGAAAGCTGAGGTTCTGAACGACTTCTTTGCCTCGGTCTTCACTGCCAAAGGCTCTGACTGCACCACCCAAGTCTTGGAAGGCAGATGCAGGGATTGTGAGAATGAAGACCTTGTCCCCGCTGTAGGAGAGGTTCTGGTTTGAGACCATCTTAAAAATCTGAATGTGCACAAGTCCGTGGGTCCTGATGAGATCCATCTACGGGTCCTGAAGGAGCTGGCAAATGAAGTTGCGAAGCCGCTGGCCATCATATTTGAGAAATCGTGGCAGTCAGGGGAAGTTCCCGATGACTGGAAAAAGGGAAATATAACCCCCATTTTCAAGAAAGGGAAAATGGATGACCTGGGGAATTACAGACCAGTCAGTCTCACCTCTGTGCCTGGCAAAATCTTGGAGCAGATTCTCCTGGAAGGCATGCTAAGGCACATGAAAATCAACAAGGTGCTTGGTGACAGCCAGCATGGCTTCACTAAGGGGAAATCCTGCCTGACCAATTTGGTGGCCTTCTATGATGGGGCTACAGAACTGATGGACAGGGGTAGAGCAGGTGATGTCATCTACCTGGACTTGTGCAAAGCGTTTGACACTGTCCCACATGACATCCTTGTCTCTAAATTGGAGCGACATCAATTTGATGGACGGACCACTCGGTGGATAAAGAACTGGCTGGATGGCCACACACAAAGAGTTGTGGTCAATGGCTCAATGTCCGGCTGGAGACCAGTAACGAGTGGTGTCCCTCAGGGATCGGTGTTGGGACCGGTCTTGTTTAACATCTTTGTTGCTGACATGGACAGTGGGATTGAGTGCGCCCTCAGCAAGTTTGCCGATGACACCAAGATGTGTGGTTCGGTTGATACGCAGGAGGGAAGGAATGCCATCCAGAGGGACCTTGACACACTTGTGAGGAGGGCTGATGCCAACCTCATGAGGTTTCACCATGCCAAGTGCAAGGTCCTACACCTGGGTCGGAGCAATCCCAGACACAGCTACAGGTTGGGCAGAGAAGAGATTCAGAGCAGCCCTGCGGAGAAGGAATTGGGGGTGCTGGTCGATGAGAAAATGAACATGAGCCGGCAGTGTGCACTTGCAGCCCAGAAAGCCAAGCGTATCCTGGGCTGCATTAAAAGGAGCGTGACCCGCAGGTCGAAGGAGGTGATCCTGCCCCTTTACTCTGCTCTTGTGAGACCTCACCTGGAGTATTGTGTGCAGTTCTGGTGTCCTCAACATAAAAAGGACATGGAACTGTTGGAACAAGTCCAGAGAAGGGCCATGAGGATGATCAGGGGACTGGAGCACCTCGTATGAAGACAGTCTGAGGAAGTTGGGGCTGTTCACCCTGGAGAAGAGAAGGCTGCATGGAGACCTCATAGCAGCCTTCCAGTATCTGAAGGGGGCCTATAGGAGTGCTGGAGAGGGACTCTTCATTAGGTACTGTAGTGACAGGACAAGGGGTAATGGGTTAAAACTTAAACCGGGGAAGTTTAGATTGGTTATAAGGAAGAAGTTCCTTACTGTAAGGGTGGTGAGGCTGTGCAATAGGCTGCCCAAGGAAGTTATGAATGCTCCATCCCTTGCGGTGTTCAAGGCCAGGTTGGGTGACATGGTTTAGTGTGAGGTGTCTCTGCCCATGGCAGGGGTGTTGGAACTAGATGATCTTAAGGTCCTTTCCAACCCTAACGATTCTATGGTTCTATGATTCTGTGATTCTATGAAAGTGCTGGGAAAAGGTTTTGTAGTTTTGAGTATATGAGGAAAACAAGCATCTTGCAATTTTCTGGACATAAGCACTGCATAGATTGAATTGAGAGTGTCGGGATTCAATCTGAAGCCAAAATTGCCATTACAAGTATTAAGACATGCTACTAGGTCATTAGGGACTGTATCTTTGCTGGTGACCACAGGTGTGGTGTACCTGACAAGGAAGAGGCTGCTGCAGATCACAGCCTTGGTTTCAGCTGTCTGATCTTAAGGCCGTTTTGAACCCTAACTATTCTATGATTCTATGTGTTTTGGAGACCTAGTGAGTAACCCTGGAACAGGTTGCCCAGAAAAGTTGCCCTATCCCTGGCAGTGTTCAAGGTCAGGTTGAAAGGGCCTTGGAGCAGCCTGCTATAGTGGACGTTGTACCTGCCCATGGTAGGGCTTTGGAACTAGGTGATTTTTAAGGTCCCTTCCAAACTAAACCAGTGTATGATTCCATGACACACATACAAATTCAAGAGAGGTCATGAAAAATACATGATGTTTCAGATGGTCATTTGATTGAAGCTTTTAATTATTATGTATATCGAAGCATCAGAGGTGGAGTTCTGGAAGTAGGTAAGTAGGTAGATAAAGCAACATTACAGGCAAACCTGGAATATTTTCTCATATGTCATTTATATTGCTTTTCCAGAAAGAAAATTCAGTTATCACATTGTCAGCTGGGCACTAGGGCTTTTTACCTTGGGTGGCTAAGTCAATAACTAGAACTGCTGAAACTTTAATTGTGAGTCAGTGGGGAGGAAAAAGGAAGTAGTATGCAACAAGCTATTCAAGAGAAACAGGATATGTAGAATAGGGAATTGCTTTTATCAGAGCTATGGAGGAATAACATCAAAATTTAGAAGTGGGCTCCCTTGTGTTAACTTTCAGATGAGGGCATCAGTAGTGGATTAAAAAAAATAATGATGCAAATCACAGTTGTACCGTCTTGTATGTAGTTTTGTCACTTTAAATAAATGTGACAAAAATGGTGTATGATAAATGGATTCCCAGGTGAATATGCTTTAGCACAATTATGTCTGGGGGTTTGGTGAACTCTCCTTCTCAAATGTGTTTGTTAAAAGAAGAGAATATTCTAAGGAATAAAGATAAGGACTGCCTTGACTCTTTATCTCTATTCAGTGTTCAGGCATAAAAGGAAATTCTATCAATTCAGTCACAAGACTGGCCGTCTTGTACCAAGTCTATAAACCAGTAGACCAGAGGAACAGCATCCCTAGAGAAGTCTGTAGTTTTGCATATTCCTCTTTTTTCTGAAATGCTGTTCCATTTCCCATGGCTTGGATGTGTCTCAGGAATGAATTGCAGACAGAGTGTAAACAAAAATAATAATATTTCCCGTAAGGCTTGCTTGTAGATCTTCCTCTTGCTGAGGGTTTAAAAAAACCCACAGAAAACAGAGGGTGTTTCGGAAGCAGATTGATTCATAATGTAATGAATATTGACCAGACTATTTGCTAATGCATTCATAATTTTGATTAGATAAAAAATCTTTCAGTAAAAATATAAAAGCAAACTTTTAACAAAACAAGATATCCTGCCGTGTGACCAAGACTGCAAAATGAAAGAAAAGTAGTTCTGAGTAGGAGCAAAATTGCATCATGTTTTGAATAACAGTAAACATTTAATTTCCCTTTATAGTAACACTAATAATTTACTCTTTAGAGTTTAAGTACTGTGACTTTTTACAATGCTCCATGTGTCCTGCTTCACACAGATGGAGTATTTTATGGGATCCTGTATTTCGGGTTCTTAGGGGCAAATCCTGTCTGGTTTACGTACAAGCTACTGTGTTTCTGCTGTTGGCTGACAAACTAGCAAGTCAACTCATGGTATGAAAGTATGGTATGAGACCAGAAAGTGTGGGGCTGTAAACAGGGCCCTGGAAAGGGGTGTCTGAATCTGGTCAGTTTTAAGAATTGCCTTTTGAGCTGAGCAAGGGCAGCACATTACTACAAACAAAAAGTAAATCCAAATAAAATAGCAAAGCAATTGTAAGGTGTCTGACTGACTTACTACTCTCATCCTCCAACACAGACTATGTAGTGAAATCTGGTAGCACATTAAAATGTAGGAATGTTGAAATACTTGAAGCAGATAGAACTATGCCCTAGAAGTCCAAGGAAGCCAGTGCCTTTGCAAGATGGTGGCCAAATTTTTAAGACTGCATAGGACTTGGTAGATGGAGGACTTCTTTGGCTTTACAAATGTGAAGTGGAATGAATAAGAGGAGGTCATGCAGAAGAAGGAAAACATAGTTTGCTGGAGGCTGTTAATGGTTTCTTGAAGAGCCAGCTGCAATTTCAACAGTAGATTTTACAGAAATGTAAAAGAGGCCTGAACATTTCAGATATTTTGGGCTGGATACAAAGACACTGCAGGCTTGATCCATTTCTAGAAGAAAATAACTTTGGATTAGTTTTATCCTGCTTTACAGACCTTTGTAACTTTAAAGAAGACCCCAGACTTATATGTCTTAGTTGTGCACATCAACATGTGGACATGATGGATACTGTGTTTGATGGTCTGTTTTAACCTTTTTTTCCCACTTTCTTTCTAACGTCTGTGCATATACGCTTGCAAAGGTAGTTGAAGAAAGAAATTAAGAGGTTTTAGTGGGATCAGCATTGAGCCTCAGCTCCTGTCTGCAGTGTGTGAGTCAGCTCAAAATGAGTATTACCCTATCTTAGGAACAGATAGTATGCTGATGTTAATTAGAGACAGTGGGCTGTTTGATTAATTGAGGTAATGAAGCTGGGCGTGCTACTGTGTTCTGGGTTTATTTAAAATACATGGTTGAGTGTGTATTAAGAAGGAGATTGTAAATTAACACTGACATATTGTGTCCTCAAAATCAATGTAATTGATCAGATTTTCTTCAGCAAAAACCAATGCAAACATGCTTTAGACATTTAGGTTATATATGTGCAAAATTAAACAGTAATGACCCATTGTTTAAACTATATTGTATTATGGACTTTTCAGGGAAGTCCACAAAAACCATATACAAAGCGTATCATTTCCAGTGCAGGGAATAAAACCTATCTAAATGGCCTAAATGCTACCTATCTTGGTAAACGTTTCCTTCCTTTAGCCT